AAATCATATCAGTGAATTTTGCACACTAAGCCTCTTTCACAGTTTTTATTGTTTTGTAATGGCTATGGTTCTTGTTTGTTCGTATGTCCTTAGTTTCGCCTAAAAATGAAAGCTAGAAGAAGAAAGCAGTTTATTGTTCATGTAAAAAATATATGTACATATAAATACTAGCAGAACCCGCGGCTTCGCTTGCGTTCAATTTACAAAAATAACGTCTTTTACTTTATGTTATATAGCGATTCACCCTCGCTTCGTTCGGGTTCGTCTCTATGTATTTATATAATATTAAATTATTTGGATATTGTTCATACAAAATACTAAAATTATGATAAAAAATGGGGGTGGGTGAAAAATACTTTACGACCTATTCTCATACCTACCAAATATACAAAAAAAAAACATTAAAATCGGTCGAGCTGTTTCGAAGGAGTGCGACCACAAACACCGTGACACGAGATTAACTGATTTGATCTACGAGTGCTCTATCTACCATACTACATATTATATACACAACAATCAATGTTGTCGTGATGTACAAACAGCTTTAGTTTGTATAACTAGACGCAGGATCTGGCCTTGCGTGTGCTATAAACACGATTTCGTATAACGCTCAGTGAGAACACAGAAATATTTATGATTTCCATTTATCATTGTTCAAATATAAGCAAATGCATTGAATTAAGAAAACGGATCAGAATCAAGAAGATTATTGATTTAAGCGTAATACTGAAAAAAATATTTCGTCTATGTGTAGTTTCTTTTTAAATCAGCAATGTCAATACTTTTAAATCAACCTAGCATTCCAATGAATGAAAAGAAAATGGTGATTTTGACATTTATAATTTACCTATGATGATATCATGACTTAAGTTTAACTATCGCACTATACGCCGTGTACCTACACAGTCTGACTGAGAATCTGCATGTGAGACGGTAACTCTGTGCCATTTACCGAGACAATTTTGTTTATTGATACTATCCAGACACAAAAAAATCCAAAAGTATTTACATTATAGAAATTTATGTATAACTGATAATGTTGTCGAAATTTCTATTGTAATCTTATCTAAGCTTTTTATTGGGGAAGCACCAATACATTTGATGACTGGGGTAACTATATGTCAGCATTTTTTTTTCAAATCGATAATCAAAATATGCCTAGTAATCGTAAGAAGCATCATCAGCTTACGGTAAGGCAGGACGAGAGAAATATAAGTCTTATTAAAATTCATTACAATTTTTAAATAAAACTATCTTTTCGGATTATTTCGCGGATTTATTTTGATTTTTGGTTCCCTGGGAACCAAAAATCAAAATAAATCCGCGAAATAATCCGAAAAGATAGTTTTATTTAAAAATGTCAAACATTCGCGTAAATCTAAGAAAGTATTATGTAATTCATTACAATTTAAATGGCTAATATCCATTCTATCTACCATATCAATAAAATATTCCAATATCAATCGGCTTATCACAAATCACCCATAGAGATATCTAGATTTTCAAATTACCATCAGGTTAAATAATTTACTAAAGTATTTAGTACAACATATTTGTTTGGTTAACCAACACATAAGTCACATAAGCCTAAGATTCGATTTTTGCAAACGTTTATTTTTTAACTGCCCTATTGTTATAATTCATGCCTGTTATATTTTAATTTTTTGTAAATATTGGGTACTATTTAATGTTATCCATGAAATCAAAGTAATTGAGTTAGACTAAATGCTTACAAGAGGTAACAAAGTGTTAAAGCTATGCAACTAAGATGTAGATACATTTCAAAAAACAAAAGCCATTATGCGAGAGTTTTGAAAGTATTGTCTTTGACATACATACATACAAATTACCGTATAATAGGTGTTATAAGGCTACCACGCCTCGTTTATAGTGTGCTGTGTGACTAATGTATTTTTAAATTGTAACGGATGGCGGTATATGTTAAAATAATACACTTAGCTATATTTTAATTATCTAATTCAGGTGAAAGTTTTATATAAGGGTTGGTTTTTAAATATTTATTATGTATAATTTATCGATTTACCCTCGTTTCGGGCGGGTGCGTCCCTATGTGTTTTACCTACATATATAGATAAAAATAATTATTGTGGGTGTACCTTAGGAGATAGACACATGCTACCCAAACTTTTCTGTAGGTCTTTTCCATACAATTTTCTAGTAAGTACATTGTTTTGATATATGTCTAGGCTAAGGTTTAGCCAGCGTTAGTATGTAATCGTACGGGAACAGTTTCTTTGACGAAACACGGTATAGGCTCAGTCATTTTGTACAAAATGTTTACAAATTATATACACAACCCTTCCTCGTTTGTCGTTCTTTCTATTAATGCAAACCGTATCGAAATCCGTTGCGTGGTTTAGAAGAAGTAAGTGGAAAAACAGGCAGACACAGCAGCAACTTTGTTTTATACTACGAGTATGTAAATATATGAAAATAAAAAGTGTTAATTTCATATAAAATGTGGCTTGCAAAAAAATATTTAAATTATACTTTTGTAGTCGAGATGGAACTATTTAGATATTGCAGTTACGACTAGGTATTGTCTTGAAGGAGCGTAGCGTGATCATTGGAAATTATAATAATATGATTATATATAATATGTGCATAAAATTAGTGTAACTTGATATTTATAAAAACTTAAAAAAAATAAAAACTGACTTCCAGACACTAAAAGTAAAAAATAACTGAACTGGGGTTTTAATTTACTATAGATACGTAATCTGATATTTTCGAAGTCGGTGCCAGCCAACAATGCTTTAAGATATGAATATCTTACGAGTGTAAGTAAATATGACAAGGTATTAACTCACTTATGTTAAAATATTACTACTATTACTTTTTGTAATTATTGCCTGAAATAAATGATAAAATAAAATAAATAAATTACATATCAACTTGTGATATATATATACGTATTCAAAATAGATTTGCTTAATTTGCATCGGCTGGCACCGACTTCGAAATTATCTGATTAGGTATGTATAGTAAATGAAAACCTTGTTCAGTTATTCGAAGTCGGTTTTTATTCCCCCGTTCAGTTATTTTTTACTTTTTGGTGCATGGAAGCCGGTTGCCATTTTTTTTAACGTTTTTATTTTTTCATTTTTATTATAGCTTAGACGTACCTTATAAGTAGGTAATTTGTATAAAGAAAGTTTTTTTAATAACATATTCGATTAAGCCATTTATATAATCCAAATTTTATATGAAGACTAGCATTGCCCGCGGATCTGCCCACGTTCAGATGACCAAAAAGCAAAAACTAAATCCTTAGGTTTTACATATTAGTAGATATACTCTTACAATGCAGTTTTTGTATTTTTTCTCAGAAATGAGATATATCCCCCCGGTAAAAAATATCCTATATGTTGACCCACCATATCCATGATCACCATACCCAATTTCATCAAAATCCCTCCAGTGGTTTTTCTGTGATGCAGTAACAGTCACACAGACAGACAGACAGATAAAAATTCTAAAAACTATAGATTCGGTCTCTGTGTCGATAACAATGTTTGTTTCAATAAGATTTTCCAAAAAATATTCAATGTACAGATTTGGCTTAGTTACAATTTTATTATATGTATAGACTAACATACTAAAAAACTCACTTTTATTAGTAACACTAAAAATCAGGCTCTTAAATCCAATTCTAACATATTGGGTTTGTCAAATGAAACCAAGTAAGCTCAAACTCAAAGTATTTACTTGCAGCCGTTAAAGAGTTCCACTATCCACATACTGGCCTCACCATCAGATCAGCTCGATGATACTAAATAATTTGGTATCATCAAAAATACAAAAACTTGCAAAGTGTCAAGTCGATATGACAATTAGAAGTAGGTAAAAAATACTAATTAGATCTGTGAACGTATTTACAAATTCATGTTTTTTTTTCAGATTTTCTCGAAAATGGTAAATTCTGTTTCAAAAAAAATATTATGGGACCACCTCGGGGCCTACCTTATATTTAGAGTACGCTTTAAAGTAGCAAATTGGTCAACCAGCTTTCGAGAAACAGACTTTTTTGCAAGTTAGTTTAACTCTAGGCTCTAAAATTCAATTCTAACCAAATAAGCCCAAATTCAAACTATTTACTAGGAGCCGTTGAAACGTTCCGCTAAACATTTTCTGGCCTCACCATCAGATCAGCTCCAAGATACCAAATAATTTGGTGAGCTGAAGATAAGCTAGCTTACAATAGTACCAAGTCTTCGAGTAAAATGGCTGTGACAGACGGATATAAAGCATTTATAAGAATTACATTTTTGTTTGCGGAACTCTAAAAACCTTGAAACAGTAGGTACATTAAAGCAAAATTTTAATATTAAATATTATTGCTGTTAGGTGTTTTTTCTATGTTATAACGTTTTATAATACAGAGACAATAAGTCCTCAAGGTTTAAAGACACCAAAGGCCATAGTAGTAAAATGGTTACAAACAATAATAATTAATCAATAAATATTTCTACCGTAAATATTAATCACTTAAAAACGATGTTTCATGTGTATTATAAGTCAAAAAATATAATCTTCAGAAATACCTTTAATTTTTTAAATTAAATACGTATGTAATTACAAATTATATATATAGGTAGGTTTAGTTTCATTGTACTTATTTCATGCTAACGAATTCGATGTTAGATATATTTTTCAATGATGTTTATGAGTACTTTTTATTTAAGGGTAGGTGTGAGGGTATGCGGTGAAGGAAAACATCGTGAGGAAACCTGCATGTCTGAGAGAACCTAGCAAGTTTTCAAAAGACATGTGAAGTCCGCCGACCCTCACTTGGCCAGTGTGGTGGACTATGGTCTGATCCTCCTCGTACTGAAGGGACGCCCGTGCCCAGCAGTGAGACGTTAAAAAGGGCTGAATACGATACAATTAGGGTATAAATAAAATATAAGTATTGTTTATCTTATTATATATTAACTTATCGAGTCTTAGATGTAACTAAATTATTTATCACTAGTTTAGGATCTTTTAGGGCCTGGCGCAGCTTCCTCAGCATCCTTGTACCAGTCCTCGCTGAAACAAATAATTTGAAATTAGTTTTAATGTTAGAAGAAATAAATTAAATAGTTTAATTAGAACAAATATAGTTTTAAGTACATAAAGATTTTAAAGCAGCTCGTACTACTGAAGTTTTATATTGGAGTATTATGTGTGCTTACCATCCACGAACATTCTCGGGTGCGTCACATTTCTGGCTTTCTTCATTGTACACCTCGCCGACTGTGCAGCCAAGTTCACGAGGCTCAACACCGTTTAAGCAAACGTAGAAACGTTGGCAGTCATTGGGGTGGGGGAATTTGGGGTGAGCGACAGCCTGGCCCTGGGCGTCAACTAATTGCTCTTTAGGGCATTCGAAACCGTCCTTGGTCTTCTCTGGAAGATGAAATTTTATTTAATTTAAGATTTTAATCAGTTGATTAAATTTTTTAATTTATTTATAATTATCATCATCTCGTATGTGACAAAATATCTAAACAGTTATTATATAATAGTCTGTTTAGACTATATTATGAAATAGTCGCCGTTTGTGAGTAATTTGATTTTGCCCATTTATTTTATAAATATAAACTTATACATGCTTAATTAACAATAATAATTGAACCAAGAAGCAATAAATATCTACAATGAATGTTTTATACTATATCTTAATAAATTATGTTGTATTTACTTAAAGGTTACACAACATGTAAATGGAGGATCATCCACATTCTAAAGATTCTCAGTCACAGAATATAACCGATCAGATTTGTGAAATATGACATGACTACAATGAACATGATTTAAATTTGTAATAAACGTGGATAAATTACCATAGAGTTACTATAATTTTATGTCTGTAATGGTATGTTATACATAAATAAAATAAAAAAAACATCCAGATATTGTTGTTTACGGTGAATGGAAGTTGGAGAATGGCGACAAATATACCACTTTTGTACAAAGTGAGAGGTAATCGACATGAATTCTCTTGGAATTTAATGACTCGTATCTTGTCAAGTAAGACATTCATTCCTAGTATAATGACTTAACGTATTAGTCATTGCAACACAAAAATTGTAATAAAAATTGCATTCGTCATTATTATAATTAAATAAATGTTGATATTGAATCTAAAATTGTTCTTACTTTCTTGAACGGCGCATCCTTGTCTTCCAGCGGTGTCAGGCCACACACAAGTGCCAGAGTATTCATCGAAGTGCAGACCAGCGGTACATTTGACTTCAATAGATTCACCTTCGATGCAGTTTATGAAAACATTGCATACAGAGGGGTCAGGGTGGGCGAAGAATCCGTTACGACGGGGGCATTGGCTGTTAGGTTTTGGGGGTTCTGATAAGAGAAAAAATATATCAATATAATGTAATAATATATTCTATTTGTGTTCTATTGTCAAATTATGATGATTAAGACTAAGATTTATATATGAACTAAGTTTTCATTTCATGAGCCACTTATTGCCGCAGCATAATAACAATATCCTCCCGACCAATTTCGGCCATGGCGGTCAATCTCATTGAGATTAGCTATCTGCGCAGGAGATATTATAGTGCACAAGTATGCGTGAAAACACAAGTGCACTCTCTATTCCGGTGGGACGTCTACTAAATTCGACCAGTGAGAGTTAAGGCGCAGGACCAACAGCACGGGGGTGAAACATCGCCGACCTTCCAACTCTGCGCTGTTAATGTGACTTCCTTAAAATAAAGACTCAGTAACTAAATTTGGCCCGACCCGGGACTCGAACCCAGGACTTCCGTATTTGCAGCCTTACATGCTAGCCACTACACCACCGAGGCAGTTTGTTTTGCCGCAACATAATCTAGTCATTAAATTTTAATATCAGCCAAAATATAATTTATGAAAAACATAATATATTCGAAAGTAATAAATAAAATACCCCAAGGAGAAATATGAAAAAACAACTTTTGAAATCGAATTATTAACAAGATCTTAAAAAGTTACATCATCTCAGAATTGACATATCTTTCCGACTATAAAATGAGGATAACGTACATGTATGTTGTAAACCTTGATATTGCACCGGTTACGTTGAGGTCGTACTCTAGGCAGCCAATTAAAATAGGAATCAGGAAATTACGAATAAGTATCTTGTAGACGAGATATAATGTAAGATCGCTATTTTTATTTGGTTCCGTTCTCAAGCAAATCGCCTTGGTCCGAACGAGTTCATTTGTCTGGTATTAAATTCCTTTCACGTCCTATTAAAATGCCTACAGACATACAATTTTAGTGAGAACAACATCAAGACGAAAATAAAACTATACTGATTAAATTGTTATATATAAATTGCATACTTCATACTCTAGTCACGCGTTCTTGACAATAAATTCCATGCAAATAAATGTTCATAAAACTACCAAAGAATCTTGTTACTCTTTAAATAGAATTAACCTGCGTTGGTGAAAAAACTAAAGAAATTCTTATAGATGGTGAAATAGAATAATACATAGCATGCGTGGCAATTATATTGTGGCAGTTTTATTTATAAATATTATATATCGATCTCGTATCTAATTGGCCTAAAAAAGCAACAGGGTATGACCTAGGTGGACAAAGGTGGTCAGGACACTTTCATTTTTGGCATGGTTGCGCTAAATGACCTTCATTAATTATTGTTTCACATATAAATTCTACATTCCATATATGTAAGATTATAAATTAATGATACTATAGATCTAACTAATGACTTATCCTCGAGTGCGTCTCTGTGTACGTTTTAAATAGATATAAATAGTTATCAGCCAACGTTGGCCATATAATTATTTAAATTTTTTTTCTTTCAAAATATTTCCGATGTTTTAATAGTTATTCTGCCATTCGGGGTGGAAACCAATAAAAAAAATCAAATACCGTAATCATCGGTCCAGCTGTCTTGAGTTACAAATGATGTAACTAACCGGGCTTGGTTTTATATATATGGATATATAATCTATTTTAAATAATATCGATTTTATTATTTTTACCTACTATTGTTTTTACAGAATATTGGCTAAACGATCTAAAAATATACATATTAGTAGATCTTTTAAATCCTTGCTTATAAACAGTTGCAATTATCTATGACAATTGTATTGATTTTTAGTACTTACGGAGCTCGACTCTTTCACCGCAGTCTACGTTGAAGGGTTGGTCGCACTTATTAATCTTCCTAATGGTAGGGTCGAACACAAGGCCATCGGGACACAACTTGGTGGTGGCGACGCCATCAACACACTGGTAGAACTTGTCACACTGCCTTTCATCTTCATATTGGCCGTCTTTGTTGGGGCATTTGAATTGAGCGCCTGCAATGAAGTAAAAAAAATAATATAAACCCTTATGGTGGTATAAAACAGTTTTTAACCGGGTTTGAATTTGAAAAAAATCTAACTTTATGTACATCTCAAGGGAGATCAAAAATATCTTATCCCTAAGAGCAGAATTGTTACATTAATTAATATATAATAAATAGAAAGTAAAGCATTTATCATACAACAGTAACATGTTAATTACAGAAATGTTCATTAAACGCGCACAGAAATCACTAATTTACAATACAATCTGACAATAGTGAATACGACATAGTGAAAGCTGTATCAATCAAGTCAAGAATCAGAGCGACCGTGTTCTGATACTCTAAAGACCAAACGGGTCAGTTTTTTCGTTACATAACAACGCAATATTATATAATCAACAGCTGACGTCACCAATCAATATTGGGGTACTCTTATGCATGCTTTGGCAATACATAAGTGATGGACACGTGCGAAGGTTATTTTAGACTTATATACCCCTGTTGCAATGAATTGCATGCCTGTAAGTTGTAACGTCACGCGAATAAAAAAGTATCGAATACCAACCTAATATGTTTCGTAAATGATTTAGCAAACTATGAAATTCGTTAGTCTAAACTTAATTGCAATGAATATTTTGTATCGTTGGATCATTAATCGTATACTGTATATGTATTTGAACCGCGATTTATGCGATTGATAATTTAACCTTTTATCTAGTTTGTTATGATAGGGATATTAGTAATCATCTTAATATATGAGAGAAGCTTATAAAAGATAGAAGATCTAGTGTTAATATATGCAATCTAAATAGCGGCCGGTCAAGGTTGCGTAAGCGAAAACTTGATTTACTAAATAATTAAGATTTTATGTAAATATATATGAGGTGACATTTTACTTGTTTTTAATGGCTTTGCCGGTTGTATTTTACCGGATTTGAATCTTAAAACGATAATTGAGGCTTCATTAATATTTTAATAACTCAAGAATATGCGGTAGTAGTTGTTTATATAAATTTTACTATCATAGGTCAAACTCGTCTTTACTCAGTACTTAGTAACCTTTAAAAAATAAATATACCTACTCTAATTCGAAATTATTTAAAAAGACTTTGTAATATGGAACATTTTACATTTTACTATAAACTTACATATTTTACTATATACTATCTTATTATTAGTAAAAAAATATTTAATTATTTATCCTCAATCAACACGTGGGATAAATATGCTGGGTGTTAAGCGCCCGCGCAAGCTATCGCAACTTGGCAAGGTGACGCAACGCATCGAGAAGTGAAAGCGAAGCGTTGCGACATGGTGCATCGCTCGGATGCATCAGGGGTCGCTCTGTGACCCGCGTTGCTAGTGAACTATCAACTTTATATCAAGTGTATGTGATTGCAAATTAAGCAATACCTTGAAACAGACCGGCGAAGGACAAAAATTGTGAAATGTTTCAAGTTTTCCTTGAAGTTGTGGAAAATTTTCAGTTATTCATATATGACCTTAAGAATTTAAGCTTGACTTTTTCACATTAATATTCGACAACTTCGCTATTCATTTATAGATGAGTTCTCTATTTTAGTTGATTAAAACAAGTTCGATGAAGACACGTTTTACTGTTTAGTGACCGACGTAAGAAACTAAATGCCAACATTGATTTATTTAATTAAGCACATTTGTCAGCATGCTTAAAATGTTAAACACGTTTTCTAAGTAAATAATGATTTATTTATAATCTTAGATAATACTATGTGAATATAAAGTTTATAAAAAGATACTATTTTAGTCTAGTTGTAGTATAATTAACACACCGTTTTACTGCAGTTTAACGGTCAATAACGGGACATTCACCAATTTAAAGCGCATAATATTGTTACGTAACCAAACAAAAACACTAATTGCTCCAATTTTAAAATATTTTCGTGAATATAAAATTATTATTACCTTTTCAATACTAATTCGAATAATAAAATTAAAACAAGGCCATATATGAAATTAAAAAAGAAATATTTTTAATTTTTGAAAGAAATATTATACTATATACATATCAGTATCAACCTTCATCCACCATCATCAAAGAGTGTAAACTCTGTTGTAATCTATAATAGGTATATCCATATTTATTAATCATTTAATATGAACCATTTAAAAAATATAAAAGACAACAATATGGTATTAAAATTCTATCTAGTTTATCCGCAGCATATAAAAGCTACAATTTCCGGCTACTTATGTAAAGTGGTCATTGCAAAAGCCTATCTAACATTTGCGTAAATTTAATATAGCTGTGTCAACACGCAACTAACGCAACTCGTAGATATTTTCAATTTAATTCTTATCTTCAATGAAATTTTATGTTATCATGTTTCTAATAAAAACCAGGTACTTGAGCGAATGTCAATGTCGATTTCCGTGAAATCACTCAAGAGTAAAGCCATAAAGTTGCTAAAAGAAGTGATTCTTGTTAATCATTCATTTCCTTTAATTAAATAATGGTATAAAAAAATATTTAAGGTATTTAAATTCATATTCAGTTTTAGTTAATTTTAATCATATTTTAATAATATATTTACGTAAAACAAACAGTTTACTGATTAACAGTAAATGAAAAGAATTTTCGAACTGATTAATCTTTTCCGAAAACTGACAAATATAATTTATCCACATATAAAATTGACTATCGACTGATCCTCGCTCAGCTTGGGTTCGTCCCTAGGTACGTTTTACCCTTTAGTATAGATATCTCGTAGATAAGATTTTTTCCCGCTCTGAAAAGTATCCTATAGGTGGATTCGGATAACCAGCTTTTGTCATGTTTTGCCAAGTTTCATCAAAATCTGTCCAGTGATTTTCTCGTAATACGATCACAGACAGACAGACAGAAAGACAAAAAATTTAAAAACTATAGATTCGGTCTTTGTATCGATAATAATGACCGTTCTAATAAAATTTTCCAAAAAATATTTTATGTACAGATTCGACTTAGTTAGAATTTTATTATATGTATAGATTTAGTGATGATTAAAATTTTAAAAGCAACTTTCGTTAATACCCTCATGAGTAAATAGCAAAGTACCTCACATTTACTTATTATGCATGAAGAATATTCTACCGGATATAACAATCGCATGGGATTGGAAACTGGATCACTATGCGTATAGCATTAAAATTAAGTAAATTATTCTAAAAAAACAGCTTTTAATATTCAATTATTAGATACTTAGTTGAAATTATAATTAGGTATATTTATTTTAATTAGTAGTTCAAGATTATATAATGCAAAGCTATAATGACGTATACAGTATAAAAATAATAAATTTAAAAAGTATAATTAACTAAGTGAGTAAATTACAATTTAAAGTAATAAGAGACTTAGTAAATATAAGAGGTAGACACTTAAGTAGTAAGTAAAATAAAAATAAAGAATAGTAGTTTCATTTTTTTAAATGTAGGTTAGACTATTCGAAAAGAAATAAAAAATGGATGAATATGAACAAAACACTGGTATTGATTAAATATTGCAATAACGCAGTAACTTTAAAATATTTAATAAAAAATATTAACAATAATAGAAACATTTTTTTTATGTTTTCAGTATTTGTATTTAACTTACTCGCAAGGGCGGCAGCTGCTGCCAACACGATGAACACTTTCATGATGACCTTTTGATTAAGATATTAAAAATATATTTAAAAATACAATGACTAGATTGCGGTCCGACCCCTTTGGCGACCCTGGTGCGACTGACGAATGCAAGCGTCGCGCGCGCTTTTTCTTCACCTGACCTGCGTATGCGCCTTAAACCGGTACGAAGACTTAGGCGTGATTTTACAAATTATACTATTAGTGAACAATACTAATTTCCGCGGTTGAAAAGTAATCTAATCATGCGATGAAGTTTTTAGTTTAATACGGCATTCCTGGATAAGCACTCGGGAGTTTCTCAATCAATTACTACGTCAGCCACGCTGTAAGACAGAGCGAGAACTGTACGCGCTACGAATTATATTGCCGTATGCAGGCCACAATTATTAATAACGTTAGTATGAAACATTTTCATATGCCCCTTAAGCTACTTAGACATAGTCGTATATATGGTTAACTGTACAACATTCTAAAAACACAGACGGTCCACGATATGTTGTGAATAATAATAGCGGTTTGTTCAATTGACAATATTTTTTCCATCGAAGCCCGTTGACCCAGTGTTTGATCAGCGCGTACCATTCACTTTGACAGGTTTCTTAAATATAGGTTCATGAAATTCAACATTCGAGTTTGGTGCCCAATGTATATTTTTTATTTCATATAGATATAGATTGATAATGTTACTCTAATACCCAGTGTTAATAAATATTACGAAAGTAGGAGTGGAGTTACTCTTACATGCGAAATAAAACGTCATGAACAAAAAATTGAATATAAGTGATTGTCAGGAACAGCTTCAAGCTTTTAACTTTAAAAAGTTTTAAATAAACGTAATTATGTTGAAATAATTCATAGTTTTGCAAGCAAAATACATTGGAAAATGGCGAAAGAGGTAGGAAACAAAATTAAGTACAGATAAAGCTCACTTTAATGATTTCTTGCAAAAATTTCTCATCAAGCTTGCGAATACTCACAGGTTGTAGAAATCTATACATATAATAAAATTCTAACAAAGTCAAATCTGTACATTAAATATTTTTTGGGAAATCTAATTGCAATAGACATTATTATCGATACAGAGTCCGAATCTGTAGTTTTTAGAATTTTTGTCTGTCTGTCTGTCTGTCTGTCTGTTACCGCATCACGAGAAAACCACTGGACAGATTTTGATGGAATTTGGTATGATGATAGCTGGTTATCCGGGTCAACATATAGGCTACTTTTTACCGCAGGAAAATATCTCATTTCTGAGAAAAAATACAAAAACACAAAAACTGCATTGTAAGAGTATACTAATATGTAAAACCTAAGAATTAGGTTTTTGGTCATCTGAACGCGGGCGGAGCCGCGGGCAATGCTAGTTTCATATAAGCATTTGTTAAAGTTCAACGAGTATTCATATAATGATTGCCAAACATACTGACCTTTGTGATGTTCGCGGCCGGAACCAAAGATAAAGAAATTCGCATAACATTATCACTTTGAAGATGGTTATATATATAATATATTATACATGAGCAAGACTGTTAATAGGTAGGTAGTACGTAGGAAGCAAAGATAATCAAAGGTCTATTGTTTGTTCATTAGTATTACTGAAGAAAGCTCTCGCAACATTGATATTTATGTTTTTTACGCAATATATTATGTATCTGATGAGAGTAATTATTGTTCCATTTCATGAACGAATTAGCCACTAATTCGTTCATGTTCTATTTATAAGGAATACTTGTAGTAGGAGTAGGCACCGAATTATTTTTGAAAGCTACAAAAATTTAGGTCTAAATAGGACAATTTAAAAACTTTTAGGACCTCAAGCTTTTACTTTGTTATGTTTACTTTTTACTTGTTATTTTATAAGCGCGAACATATAATCATTTTTCATATTATTTTAGTGGTGTTCTTTAAAGGACTTTATAGAAATATTTTTTACATATTATTGTTGACAATCTATCTATACATATAATAAAATTGTAACTAAGCCGAATCTGTACATTCGATATTTTTTGGAAAATCTTATTTTAATAAACATTATTATCGATACAGAGGCCGAATCTATAGTTTTTAGAATATTTGTCCGTCTGTCTGTCTGTTACTGCGTCAAAGAAAAACCACTGGAGGGATTTTGATGAAATTTGGTATGGTGATAGCTGGTTATCCGGGTCAACATATAGTATCTCATTTCGGAGAAAAAATACAAAACTGCATTGTAAGAGTATACTAATTTGGTTTTTGGTCATCTGAACGCAGGCGGAGCCGCGGGCAATGCTAGTAAAAGATAAGGAATGAGTCATATTAAAGACAATAGCCAGGATTCAATGCTTAAGGGCGCACCGAGGCAATTACGAAATAATTGCATTCGTTTGATCCCTTGCTCTATTGTTATTACTAAAACTTTAATTATGTAATTAATATGTAGGATATTTAAGGATTTGTCTTATAAAGACGATTACTTGTAATATAATCGATAGAAAAAAATCCAAAATGATCTCTAAAAAAACCCTTAGTGCGGCGTAAGTAATTATAAATATAATATAAATTATTTTGTATTTGTTGTTATTTATAATTATATTTTAGTTAAAATAAGCTGTTGAAATTAGGCATATTATCTCATATATATACTGAAAAGTGATCTATAGTCTCGATCATATCAATAGATCGATAGTCTACTGATGAAGGTAACCATACGAAATACGTAACTAGTATGTAAATAAAATTGTTATATAAAAACACTTTTCACTTTTATTTTGGTACATTCAGTAATTTTGGTAGACTTAAAAGTAAACAAATCGAGGGTAAGCTATTTGTATAAAATACGTAAAATGAAATCTATTAATTGTTTGGTTTTAGAGACATGTCTTTTTTCACTCACTTTCATTAGTAGACTGGTCCATATACTTTTGATACGTTAAGAGATCATAATATTATAGTAGTCATTTGGTGCTCCAAAAATATGTTACCTGGAAAGTTTTCCGTGAGTGTTCAAAATTGGTGATTTTATAGATTTTGGCGGACTCTTTGTGAATTTCTACTTTGCATTAAAAATATATTACTGAATAAAGCTTATTACACCATCACGCAATTCTTTGTAGATGTCAACGCTTGAGTCTAATGTCTGGTTGGGTCCTACTAAGAATACAAAGATAATTATTGTATTGCAATATTGTGAACAAATATTATTTTGAAATAGCAATCGGGATAAAAAATAATCTATGTGTTATCCCAGACTGTAATCTATCTTTGTGCCAAATTTCATTCAGATCCGTTTAGCCATTCTGGCGTGAAAGAGTAACAAACATCCATCCATACATACTCACAAACTTTCACATTTATAACATTAAATACGGATTACATAAATTATGGGAAATTTTCTCTAGTTGCAATGTATTATATAACTAATTTTATCGTTAAATGAGTAGGAAAGGTGATATTTTCAAAAAATTGTCTTTAGACACCATTTTTCCAATAAAGCGGGGCGAACGGTAAAGATTGGTTGGAAAGTAGAATTTCGGAAAGAGCCCGTCGTAATCTATAAAATCACCAATTTTTAAAACTCCCGGAGAACTTTCCAGGCAAACCTACCAAATGACTGTACTATTAGGAATTATCTTTTAGTTGAGTGTACTACCTAAATGATGACCTGAAGAATGCTAATCAGATCTTAATCTATATTTCTTAATCCTGTTATCAAAGGTGAAGTTAATAAAGAGAGCCGTCTATTAAAATATATTATTTATCCCTCCACGACCGCGGACACGCCGGCGTTGCAGTTAACAATAGATTTCTTAGAAATTTACCTGGAAGTGTTAACTTATTTTGTAGATATATGTATTTACAAACAATAATAGACGACCTAGTTGTTTTTCTATCTTTCTTGATATAGTTAAATTATAATATTAATAATATTACTCTTAAGTTAAAACCAAAAGATTTAAGATTGGCACAACATTGATTGATATAGGTACTTAGTTCTAATTATTACGAGCATTTTTTTTTCATATCAGTTTTTTAAGGATCCTGGATCCGCCTCACAGAGCCGGAGTTGGGGGGGATTGGGTAACTCAGATTGCTACCCCGTGGGGGCCACAATAAAAATTCTCATAGTCTCCTTGAATATAATTATGAACATTTTACAAATTAAAAAAATGAAACATTTTTAATATCGTTGCAGTATTTTTAACGTCTTGACTCTTTAATTACCTCACATTTCTAAATTCGGCCCTGGCCACATACTTTACCGATTACTAAATTCACATGCATTTCATGAAGACCCTAAAATTCACGTGTTGTTAAATAACTTTGTATAATAAAATCTTCGTCGTAATAACGTTCTTAGGTGCCTATCCCGCTCAAACCAAAAAGGAAGTATTACTCTCCAGTTTATAATTTATGTCAAAAATCACATCAATACCTTGCTGCGTGAAAGAAGGACAAACCAACAAACTTTCGCATTTATCTTATACAGGAAATATCTACCTAAGGTGAATAAGATACATGCTATGTGGTATATGGTTTTTTAGCAATTTAATTATATTTAGTAGATTTTACGTTTACAGAATTTAGTTGACTAAAATATGTCACTTGTATGATAATATAAGATTATTCTTAATTTTTTCATTGCTTTATTGCTCTGACAAAAAAGACAACTGCATTTTCAAATTAAAAAAAAATGTATTACAAGAGAATATATTCTTTACATCTATTGATTAATTACTTACTTGCTTGAGTACTTGTATATGAGAGAGATTGCCTTTTTAGTAAGGCAATTATATTGACTATAAAATTTATATGTCATCAGTAAATGACCTTTTTATACTTTATGAGATGCATAAAATTATATGAGTACTTCTTTTTTTAATTGAAAGCTCATCTTATAAACTACCTTTGTACTTCCTATATTTCACATTATCAATGACTCCTTCAATCTACCCAGTATTTATATTCCAATTAAGAGTGCAAAAATATCTTATAAGTATTTATATATTACTAGCATTGCCCGCAGCTCCGCCCG